CTTTCAGAAGGAAGCTAGAGAGCTTTCGATAGGGCTAATCCTTCACTTCATCCAGACGGCAGTCAGTGAGTGCGTAAGTAGAGATTGCAGAGAGACAAAGGCGAGTTTCATAGTTCTTAATAGTCTTCACTATACCACCCAGTCAGATAACACATAAGTGACTGTCAACTGGAGCCCAGTCGAGTAGTGCACTTTCTGCCGTAGGATTGATTGCTATACATACACCTGCAAGACCATGAAAACTGGCTATCATGTCCCCAGAAACTCTGATGGTAAAGTTTGCAGATTCACCATATTGACCGGGTGAGGTTAAGTGGTTTGTCCCACTTGAATACTGTGTACGTGTCTTACAAACACCTCATATCCGTGGCTCGAGATTCTGGAGTTTTGACCAGCGGAGCTTATTGGCTGATTTGACGGAGGGTACGGAGATTAGAGCTCAGTTTCAGGAGACCAGGAATGCTGTCCCGTAAACTGACATCGCCACAGACAGCTACAGAGGTAGAAGAAATTAAAATTGACCTACGAATGTTGATGGACTTGGAGGAAGGATTAGAAGATGAGGTTGTTAATGATCTGAGGGAATTTGAATACTACAGAGTTGTGAGGGTAGTTGACACTTTTCAGCTTCATACACTATAGATGGCTAGGCGAAAAAGGTAGGATAGTGCATGGTGGCAGTGGCCAAGTGACATCTGTTTGAGGTTGGTCACACGTGACCCCTCTAGAAGTTTGAGATTTCGATTTTTTTCGAACCTGACTATGAACCCATGTTGCCGGCACCGGTATGCCGCAGGGTAGAAGGGAGTCTGCTATGTCTAGGGTCGACCTTCTATAACCTCCCACGGTTTCCTATAGGGAAGACAGCATCAGCAGGGCGCTGCTGATCATCCAAGAGAAACACGTTACTGCTGCCACCCCCACATAGCCAACAGTATGATTTCGCCGTCGGACTTCCATCATAGCGCAAAAGTTTACACTATGACGGTAACTGCTTTTCATCGAACCACTCTCAAACCAAACCTTCCTGTTATGATAGGACCAATCTCTAGGGAGCAACCGTTCCACCAGCCTAGCTTGTTGTGTCACTGTTATATGTAAGCTTGACCAGCACGTCAGGGTAGCAGCTATCGACCGACATACATTCAACCAGTTATTTATGTAGTTTTTATGAATGTGGAAGCTCCTGGCCTTTACACGCTACCACCTGTTGATTAATGAACTAATAGTTCGGTGTTGTATCTTATTATGATCACCGTAAATTACTTCGAGGTAGGTAGTCAGGTACTATGCGTTAACAGGTGCACTAACATTAAAATATTTCCAACCCTAAGCAACGGTATTAGTTCCAACGTGAATCGAATAACGCGAGCAGACTTCAATTCTGTTTGACCAGAATGTTATAGGCCTTATCCTAACCAACACACGACAACGACTGGTAAACCAAAAGACAAACACCACAGGATTCGAATTGGGTTGTTCGCTGTCCAATGTATGTAAACGAGATTAATTTCATCATCAATGTGATATTGGTATTTATCAAGAAATTTGAATAAAGTTACTAGGGGTAGACAACACTACATTCAACTTCAACATTGCTTCACGATACACATTGTTTTGAAAGTGTTCAATAAACAACTACTTTAAATTTTCGTATATCAGTAACCTAGTCAAATCTTTTACCAACCACCACTGTGTGAATCGTTTGTGCACTGTCAAAATTCACTTTTAAAAACCTTCCAGTTAAAGTCACCATTAGTTTTGGAACATAATGAAACGAATCAGGTCGACTTTTTGAAAGATGCTTTTTATCTGACTATTCTAGTTAATTGTATGTCAAAACGGCGTATACTGCACAGCCGTCCGGTCTGTTCTGCTGTATGGCTGTGAAACATGGCCATTGAAAGTAGAAGATATGATAAGGCTTTCTCATGTGTTTGACCACCGTTGCCTTCGTAGCATAGGTCGTGTTCCATGGTTTCACCACGCGAGTAATGCAGAAGTCAGGTATAGAGTTTTAGGGAGTGGGGTTAAATCAGTTGACGAGGTTATGAACCTTCACCGAATGAGATGGTTGGGACACATACTACGTATGCCCAGTCACCGATTGCCTCATCACACAATGTTGGCCGAAGTAGGTTCAGGCTGGAAAAAGGCCTGAGGTGTCCAGACTAAAACATAGCACCAATGTATGAAGTCTCTGACTGTTGGTTTGAGCCATGTGGGGCAATGCAGAGTGGGTGGTTGGGGTTGGTGGGACAAGAAGAACCAGTGTTTGGAGACTGACTCTAGGTGATCGCATGGTTCAGAACTGATGTCAGTGGCACAGATGTATGTTCACATTATCGTCATCTTAACGACGCTATACCGAATCCTATTATTCCTCTTTTCTTTTTCTCGTACTTCATATTTCTTTTGACTGAATTTTCTTATCTTCATCTTGTACTTCACTGTCTTTTTACTTGATGTACTGATAAGCGGTGTGGCAAGTTAGACCATTACTCAGTAATGCCTGATCCTATGTTGATATTGATTGGTTTAGATTCAGTGGATTGATTACATTTCGCTTACAACCATCAAGTTTACAATACCACTTGTTAATCCAATACTTTCAGTGATACGGTTCATCAATAAAGTAAGTTTATTCAATCATTCATTAAAGGTTCCTATTACAATTCAGAAGTCATTTGATTGTGAACAAAGAATGTTCTTTTCGACGACTTGTTCAGGTTCTACGGTTATATGTACACATTGATGAATTACACGTCAGCAGTATAGACAGAGATTCCGCTTATCAGTTTGTTAGTAATAGAGTTGAGGAAGTCAATTGAAAAAAGTCGTTTGTTAATGTTTATGATGGAATCAATTGTTACTAGGATTCAATTCAAAATAAAAACTGACTATCTAAATGATTACATGACTTACGTAATTCTATAAGGTGATGGTTTAATGAAACAATAGGACGATGTTTATAACAACTGGATGAAATAAACTAAGAAGAACAAAATATGTTAAAAGAATTTGTCAAAATTATTTCCGATTATAGAGGAGCTGTGAGAAGATGGGCATACGCTAGCTGGACCGATGAAAAGAGCCTAGAAGATTTGAATTTCGCCGATGATTTGTGTCTACTGTCACACAAACTTGAAGATCTACAGGCGAAAACTAACAAGTTGACAGAAAAGGCAGGGCAGCGAAGGAAGACGGAACTTCAAGTGAATGTAGAGAAGATGGAGGTGATGAAGATACCCAACCAATAACAGCATCAACAAGCACCAATCACCATCAACGGGTGAAACCTAAAGGAAGTAGTCTCTTTCATCTACCCACCTACCTGACTAGGCAGCATCGTTTCAACTACAGACAGTGGTGGCACAGACGAGGATGTCAAAAGCAGGATGGGAAAGACAGCAAGACAGGCATTCATCAATCTGAAATCAGTGTGGAGATCTACTGCACTTCACTCAGCACAAAGAACAAGATACGGATTTTCAACACCAATGTCAACTCAGTGCTGCTATGTGATGGTTCAGAAACTTGGCGCGTCACGAAAAGTACTTCCAACAAACTACACACATCACATCAACAGCTGCCTACACTGGCTGGTTACTGAAGATTAGATGGATTGCTAGAAAGAATAAGCAACAGGGAAGTCTGGCCTGCCAAGGAACCAACCAAGAACCTACCACCCAACAAATATGCAGAAGAAGAAAGTGGAGATGAATTGGATTGGGCATACACTGAGAAAACCATTCGGAGACATCACGCGCCAGGCTCTCGAGTAGAACCCTGAGGGGAAACGATGAGTTGGGCGTCGGAGGCGAGGGTGACATGGAGGAGATCATGTGAGGAAGAAATGAAAGCTCGTGGGCAGTCGTGGAGCGATGTTCAAAAGACTACAGAGAACACAGTGCAATGGAGGCGTGCTACTGAATCCATACGTTCCACTAGGAACCCAAGGGGAAAAAATAATAGTAGAGAAGGGTTGTTCACAGTATGTAATTAGATAACCTTGGGCAGGATGCTAACGAATTTGTACACCATGAATCAGGCCACGACAGTTTTATGAGTAACACTTGTTTATTTTGAACACACGACTCGCGTTGTTTGACGCCGATTGCTTCTGCTTCTAAAGTTTGAAGAATCCTAAGCAGAGTACTTTTGGGAAAACCACTCGTTTACATTCACCGTATGGTTCATTTCAACCAAGTGTGCTAATATAGAGCTGGTAATGGTCTTTAACACACCTTTACTTAACCATGTCGGGAGGTGTTTGCGAACACGGGAAATTAAGAACCTAGGGCAGCGGTTGCACAAAAGTAGTCGAACTGATAAACATAACAGGAAGTGGCCAGTCTAAGCAACTCGCCATTCAGTCTTGGTGTCACCAATGGACGTGTCATAAACACCTTCCTGTTGTTTCACTAAACTGTCACTCTATATTATTGCATAAGTCGTATAATCATTTAGATAATCAGTTTTTATTTTGAATTGAATTCTAATAACAACTGATTCTATCATCATAAGCGTTCACAAACGACTTTTCTCAATTGACTTCGTCAACTCAATTGTTAACAAACCGATAAGCGGAATCTCTGTCTATACTGCTGACGTGTAATTCATCAATGTGTACATATAACTGTAGAATCTGAAGAAGTTATCGAGTTGAATATTCTTTGTTCACTCAACTGGCTTTTAGGTTTAATCAGTCATTTGTATTTTCTTCTCACACTTCGAATAAGCGTCAGCTGATTTATATCTTGTTGGCTACCATATACTTAGTGTTGTTGAACACTGAGATTTCTAAAGAAATGAAGAGACAGGTATAATCTCTTGGGTGACATTCGTTGACTGCCATTTCTGTCATATACTTTCGCCACTATTTAATTAGAAATCGAATCTTGTTTCCTTCATGTCATTTGAGTAATAGTTAACTCACTTTTCATCATTTTATAATGTTTATTTTATTTCCAGTCAGGATTTATCGGTCATATTAAAACATGGATCACAAACTCAATGAACTGACCGAAAATATTAAACAACGTGGTCGTGAAGGCGCTCACCCTCTGTTTAAGGAAACAGGACCAGAATATGTGATGCCTAAGTTTCCCATTGAAAGAAAAGAAATGGAAGAACACATTTTGGAGTTGAAGTTGGGCAGGTAAGTGAATAAAAATAAATCCACCATGCCGGAGACATATAGATATTAAATGAAATTGTATAGAAATATTTAACGTTACGGAGGTTAATGGATTGATGCGAAATCTGCCTTATTTCTTTGTTGTTTGAACCTTAGTCGACGGAGATGGTCTGGATATGTATTGTGAATGCCAAGCCACTGTCTACCTCGGCGTACCATTCTAGAGGAAGCTGAATTGGGTTAAAGTAGGGTTAAAGGACATGGCACCAATTCATGAAGTCTCTGACCGTTGACCTGAGTCGTATGGAGAGATGTTGACTGCCTGGTTAGGGTCTCCAAGACGAAAGATATCAGTGGTTGAGAATACTTAGTGACAATGACACCTAAAGTATAAATATTCCCACTAACCGTTATCTTCAGATTGTTTATTCTCTCACACCACTTTGTCTACTTTGACATCACCCTTTTTCGATCCACCTGTTCTTATTTGTCTACTACTGTAAAGTCTGGCAACTTGATCTGGTATATCTACTCTGAGAAATATTCTGTTGTGTTTGTGTATTCAAGTTTATTTTTTCATCCAACTTCAACATTATTGTTATGTAGCATTTAGGAGTTGTTTCGAGCTGATCATGAGTATTCCATAAGACTATAGATTACTTTTGTATCTATAATACGCAACAGTCTACAGGTTAGTGGTATAATAATATTATCTTTTATGTTGCATGCCTTATGTTCACTCAGTCCTATATGTAGTGTGAAAGGGGATTGAATTACGTTGTGTTTATCAAGCTGTCTCTGATTCCTTTTACTCTATTTATCATTTTTAGGTCAATCAGTTCAGTAGATGGTGATTCTAAACTCCACACTGGTGAAGAAAATCGAGATTCAACCTATGCAAATAATTTAACAACACCTAAAGCTTTTGGTCTCGATAACTGTAATTCTGTTAGTGGTTTAACGAATGGATCTGAATCAATCGGATGGAGTAGAAAGAGTCATGCATTTACAACTTTGAATAAAAGTGATAGAGTTAACGAAGAAGCTTCTTCAGACTCGTTATCTCTGCTACCTGAAGAGTTTACTGGGGAACAAAATGTTCGATTTAATCCATCTACTTCTTCAGGTATTAACACATCATCTTTGGAATTTAGTAATCGTGTACAATCAAGGCTTAGTCAGAGTGGTATACAATTTCAGAATGAGCAAACTGGTGAAGGTCCTTTAGTTCGCCGGTTATACAGTATCCCTAGTACAGTTAATGAAGGTCTCCCATTACATTTAACACCTGGACCAAATACGTACACAGATGTTGCACCAGTACTTCAAGAAGTTGAGGGATCAGCTGAAGCACATATAGAATCAGCAGCCGTAGAATTTCAACGTGTTCAGATCTGTGGCGATGATACACTTGGAGTAAGTATAGTCATTCAGTATATGCTTATGTTTATAACTGAGTAGATTTGCTTGTGGATATTAAATAATGTTTACATTTACTTATTGTTATATGTAGACTATCCCAAAACTTGTATCCAGTGTCACATGTATTGATGTCCAGTAATTTGATTTAGAGGAAATCAATTTCTGATACACTACTGTCTTATAAATATGTGGGAACATTAAAAATAGCTATACTCAATAGTGTCGAAAATCGAAAGACTATGAAGATGACATATATATGTGAACAGTATTGTTTCCAATTCACTTTCATCACGCTTTACCCTAATATTCATAAATCTCATGTATAAAACATTAAACCAATCATGGTGAATTTTTCTGTTTGTGATAACAAGTAACTAAACTACGCAAATAGTGAATATTCAAATAATAATAATAATAATAATAATAATAATAATAATAATAATAATAATAATGATAATAATAATAATAATAATAATAATAATAATAATCTTAACGATGATAACAATAATGGGGAACAGCGTAGTTCATTATTATTTTATTATCTGTCCTTTGGGTTCCTAGTGGAACATAGAGCTTCAGTAGCACATCACCAGTTTACTCTCTTCTCTACAGCCTTTCGAAGATGGCCACATGACTGCCCACAAGCTTTCATTTCTTCCTCACACAACCACCTCCATGTCACCCTTGGACACCCAACTCGTCGTTTCTCATTCGACTTCCACTCAAGCGCCTGGTCTGGCCTCGCCTGACGCGTGATGTCCCCAAAACCGTCTTCTCAGTGTATGCCCAATACAATCCATCTACACATTCTTCTTCTGTATATTTGTTGGGCGACTGCTTCTTGGTTGGTTGACTGCCAGTCAGTCAGCCAGCCAGCCAACCACAGTTCCTTGTTGCTTATTCTCATTATTCTGGTCATCTGATCTTCAGTGTCAGTATCGAGTGTAGTTTAGGCGGCAGCTATTCGTGTGGTGTATGTCTTCAGTTTGTTGGAAATGCTTTTCGTGACACCCCAAGTCTCTCAACCATCACATGGAAGCATTGCCTTGCTCGACTGAATTAGTGTTGAAAATCCGGATCTTGTTCACGCTTTATGCTAAGTGCAGCTCAGTGCAGTAGGTCTCCACACTGATCATTTCAGATTAATGAAGACCTGTCTTGCTGTCTCTCCGATCCTGGCTTTCACATCCTCATCTGTGCCGCCGCCACCGCCTGTAGTTGAGACGGTGCTGCCTAGGCAGGTAGGTGAAAGAGACAACTTCGTTTAGATTTCATTCGTTGATGGTGATTGGTGCTTCTTGTTGTTGTTGTTGTTGGTTGGGTATCTTCATCACTTCTGTCTTCTCTAAGTTCATTTGAAGGGTGTCCTGTCTTCACTGTCTCGCCTCTTCTGTCAGCTTGTTGGTTTTCGCCTGTAGATCTTGGAGTTTGTGTGACATAAGATATTAGACATAAGTCATCATCGGCGAAGTCCAAATCTTCTAGGGTCTTTTATTCCGTCAAACAGCGCATGCCTATCTTCCGCTCCTCACAGTTTGTTGCATTATGCAGTCCAGTCCAGCTGACTACAATCAGGAAGATCATCGGTGATAATAGGTGGTAACCTTGTCTTACTCCTGTCTTCACTTTAAAGGTATCACTAAACTTTCCACTGTGGATCACTTGGCATCTAGCATCATATAGCATATAGCTGCTGTTGAATGTGGTTGATAGAGGTTTGTGAGCAGCATAGTACTGAAGACAATTTAACAATCAGTGATAGTGGTTTAGTGTTCTCTGAGCTGTGTTGTATCAAAGGGGGGAGGTAAAGAAAGAGGATGAAAAACTGAATTTATCTCTGAGCTCACATACCAAGTTTTCTCTGATCAAGTCAGAGATTAGGGTTACACTTTTATTGGTACACAAAGACTAGGGTTGTTTTGTCTAATTCCCATAGCCCCAGTTATATGTAATATGAGAATTTGAATTCTCGTTCGAAATATTTTTTTCAAGTGCGATCGATAATTTTGAACGCTTTGATCTTACCTATCACTTGACTACCATCGACTAAATGCGACAGAATGGTGCTTCATATTGACTTTACTAGTCCCTCTCTTTGCGACGGCGGTAGATGATCAGCAACACGTTTGTTAAGCTGCCTAGTTGTAAGCCGGATAAAGCTTTCTCCACGGAAGCTGGTGAATCGATAAATGCACATTGAAGTGGCAAAACTGGCCAACTTATAGAGAAGAGATAATTCAGCGAAGAAAATTTTCTTTTTCGACGATATCATTTTCTAAAGCTGTACAATAGTATTTATATACATAACATAAACATATAACAGTCTATTATAAAACAATAGGGTATAATTACATCATTAACCTTGTGCGAAAAAGCCGGAATCAAGAATGCAAAGTAGTTGCGTAATAAACTAAGACAGTAGAAATATCGAGGAAGTCAAGGAGTTTGACAAGGTAGTCGTTGAAAAGAAATATTTCTTCACTGATACACGCCTTGTTCTTGTTAATGAATAAATGGGTATATTTCTTCAGTACGGTGAAAATTGTTGGTAGATAAGAAAGCCAAATATTGAGTGTCCACTTGATAGATGGATGTAAAGAAGGTGAAGAATGAGACAAGGGTCATAATGAAGGTGATAATAACAGTAAACTAATTAATTATAGTGAAATTGACAAAGAATTGTGAAAGTGTTAAGACCATGAGAGACTGAACATACTTCTTTTGCATACAGAGATCAGGCTTGAATTGATGAATTGCCAGTGCCTCCGCTGTGCACAACTGTCGAAGGCGTACTCCTTTTCAACTATTCCATCTGACACGATAAATGACATTGAAGGAAGATTCTGGTCTGTTAATTGATTTACATTCTTGAACATTTGGTCAACTCTGGACAAAAATCTAGACCATAATCCTTCTTCAATGTCATTTATCGTGTCAGATGGAATAGTTGAAAAGGAGTACGCCTTCGACAGTTGTGCACAGCGGAGGCACTGGCAATTCATCAATTCAAGCCTGATCTCTGTATGCAAAAGAAGTATGTTCAATCTCTCATGGTCTTAACACTTTCACAATTCTTTGTCAATTTCACTATAATTAATTAGTTTACTGTTATTATCACCTTCATTATGACCCTTGTCTCATTCTTCACCTTCTTTACATCCATCTATCAAGTGGACACTCAATATTTGGCTTTCTTATCTACCAACAATTTTCACCGTACTGAAGAAATATACCCATTTATTCATTAACAAGAACAAGGTATGTATCAGTGAAGAAATATTTCTTCTCAACGACTACCTTGTCAAACTCCTTGACTTCCTCGATATTTCTACTGTCTTAGTTTATTACGCAACTACTTTGCATTCTTGATTCCGGCTTTTTCGCACAAGGTTAATGATGTAATTATACCCTATTGTTTTATAATAGACTGTTATATGTTTATGTTATGTATATAAATACTATTGTACAGCTTTAGAAAATGATATCGTCGAAAAAGAAAATTTTCTTCGCTGAATTATCGCTTCTCTATGACTAAATGGGCAGCTTATCTCTTGTCTGACGAGAAAATAATAATTAAAAGTTAGTAACATAGGATGATCTTCTGATACCTGTAGACAGTCTATGGAATGGAACTTCATCGAGTACTTTCCCATTAAATTGGAGCTTCATGAATAATGATTTCTTTTGAACAGTCATTTGTTCAGATTTTTAATTCATTTTGTCTATGTCCGTTGATAAAACTGTGTGAGTAACGGACTTCCACTAGCATATTATAAAGTTATCCTGGTTCCTTTTGTAGCAGACCATCGAAACAGCTTCTTCTAGCTCTGCTTGCAAGGCATTTAACTAAACTTTTTTTATGCAGAATGGGCAGAAAGCTAAGGAAATGTATGTACTGACCCGTAGATGTAGTCTTTATGTACACTGTTCTACACTGAGTGACCCATCATCTTTTCTATAAGTGTAAATGGGAGTAAAATCTTCAAAAGCGTTTGGTAGAATTATTATTATTATCATTATTATTTGTCTCTTGGGTTCCCAGAAGCTCTCATTTCCTCCTCGCACGATCTCCTCCATGTCACCCTCGACTCCGACGCCCAACTCGTCGCTTCCCATCTGGGTTCCACTCGAGGGACTGGCCTGGCACATGATGTCCCCAATCGGCCTTCTCAGTGTATGCCCAACACAATCCATCTCCACTTTCTTCTGAATATTTGTTGAGTGATAGGTTCTTGCTTCGTTTGTTCGTTGGCAGGCCAGATTTCCTTGTTGCATATTCTTTCTGGCGATCCATCTGATCTTCAGTAACCAGCCAGCGTATGTGGCAGTTGTTGATGAATGTCTGCAGTGTATGGTAGAATACGTCATATTAAACGTGGAGATAATGTTTGACATCGGATCAATTGGTGTACAGAAATTTTTTCTCGAATGTTCTGTGAATACACCGATGAAATACTTACATACTATACAAATATATCATCACTGCCTATGGCTACAGTAACTTTTGAAAGGCATCAATGAGTCGAAATTCCAGCAAATAATACGAGTTGTTGGAATTTACTAAGTAAGAATAAAACTATAGAGTTTAGTAGTAATACTCAAATATACTATTGTAGTTGACTGTTAATGAGGTCACCGAGTTTCTCAAAGAGGTGACCTGTATTATTTTCTTTTGTTTTACGTGTGCCTAGTAGTCAGTGCAGATACGACCGTTCTATGGTCCTCAAACCTTTAAAATGCCTGCTAACTTCGGAAAATGTTTTAAGACTATTGGTTGTTGATGGTTTCAAGCCCTCACCATGTTGATACACCTCAAAGCCTATCGCTTAGGCCTGTATGTAGCTACTGTTTTTTTTTATTTTGAAAGTAGTATTCACCACAGACTGATCTCATTTGGGGGACCATCAAAAACATGGGAGCACTGGATAGCTGTTTCTTTCTAGTATGGGATTCCTCTCCAACTGACGCCAGTCTGTGATGAACACTACCTGAGA